TCGTCCTCGTCACCTGCATCCTCGTCATCTTCTCCGCCGTCATCCTCGTCATCCGGCTCCCCTTCAGCCTCTTCATCCTCATCTTCATCTTCACTGCCATCTTTGTTCTTGGGTTCCGAAGATTTATTTTCCTTGTTAGCTTCAGTTATCGACATCCTTCAGAAAAGAGAGTTTGAGAGTTTTTCCAGTCAATGCCAGCAAACAATTAGGGGAAAATTCAGAGAATTTGTGGAAAAAGGAAATAGCACAAACCTCTCTGGAGATATCGGGTCCCTAGGGAACAGAACTTCGGTGTTGTTGCATAAGGACTGTGCCTGTAGTGGATAATAATAAAAGCTGATGAAGTAATAAACTTGCAATATCAGCTAAAATCAAGAAAAATTTTGGTGTTGGTGACTGGTGACTTGTATACAAAGAGCGTACTGAAGAAATTCGATTTTTAGCAACTGAATCATCCAAAAATTTGTATTGCAGTATAATTGTTCTGAATTTCTGCACACTACAGCAGAAGTTGTAATTGTATTAAGGATGAAGACTGTACAAACAAGTATCTAACACAAGATTTTGCCCCTGAACAATATGAAACAATACCAGCCAGTGTTTCTCTTTTTGTCAAGAAAATAGAAAATGAAGCAGTTTCCTCCCGGTGGACACAGAGTAGATAACTACAAATTTCGATCCTAATTTACCAACCACAAAACAAAATCCAATCTCCATGAAAACAATATAACAACAAACCCAAGAAATCAAAACAAAAAGAAAGAAAACAAAAGCTTGAAAATTCATCATAAGCAGATACATCACAAGTTCCATAACTTCATACTTCAACTAATCTACGTCTTTCTATTCTACCAACCATGAGAATTCATTATTAATAAAAGCACAAACAATAATATAGCAAAATACCAGATCATAACAGACCACTTAATAACATGACATTTAGTTTCTAAACAATCTAGATGCAAATCTAGTATAAAGAGACTAAAACATCGGCGAAAAAGAACCACAAAAAAANNAAAAAAAAAAAAAACCAATCAAGGAAGTATAGTAACAAAACACCAGCAAGGGAGAAGTACAAACATAACAACATAGGATACAACATGTGAATTGAACTAGAACCAGCCATGGCCAAATTACTGAAAACAGAATAAACAAAAAGCTCCATAGCCCACATATCGCAATTCAAATCCAAACCATAAACCCAAAATTCAGGCATTTTACTATCAGACCACAAAGACAAGCACAAAACAAGAAATTTACTATACCACAAATAAAAGCCAGCTTCACATAATGTGTGCACAATTCAAGCAAAAAGACGAGTAATCCAGAATTACTAGTCAAACAACACACTGCAGCAAAGATGATGAAGAGCATTATACCGTGAGGAGAAAACAAACAACGGACTTAGCCACAGCAGTTGTGGTCTCAAGCAAAAGGGCCTCAAACGCCGAGCTCAAAGGCCTCTCCGCCACCGCATACTCAGCGCCCAAAGCTTCCATCTTCAGCCTCTCAAAAACCTAAACACCAGAAACAGAACGCTGTACAGATAAGAAGGGGAGCGTGCGCTAGTTGTACATATACATACTGTACTATTTATACTCTAGGATGAAATTAATTAGGGATGTTCCAAAAAACCCTAATGGAAATTATTTATCACAATTTGGGGATTCTTCTGTTTTCCTCGCTCCTACGCTAGGGTTTTGGAGTTCATTATTTTTATTTTATTTTATTTTATTTTATATTTATTTTATGATAGTCCACGAAATTCGAGAAGCAATCGGCGAGGGTCGAGGAGCCATTGGATTTGGAGACAAATTGAATAGAGCCCAAAATTGGAAGTCCTAGATCTTAGCCCAATAGATGTCGCCCAACGAAAGAAGATGCTTTTAGGCCCAAAATCGAAAGTCCAAATATTAATTTATCGGTTCAAAACGAGATTTTTTTTTAGTTAATCAGAGTTAATTTTGAAAAATATGATGCGGTTATTTATTAATAGAATTTTAACAATGTATTAAAATAATATTTAAAATAAAATGATAAGAATTAATTTGATGTAAAAGTAGGAGATAAATAATTAGAAATGATTGAAAATGATAAGTAGTTAAGCTAAAATTGACTTAGATTTTGAAGTATGAATTAAGTGTGAGTAAATTAATTAATAAACAAGTGCGCCCTAAGCCACATAGACCTCCGGTGTGAGTCTCAGTATTGTTTGTTATGACAAATGTTGCATATAAGTTATTTTGGATTTGATTAAATTTATTGAATAAAGTAAGTTACTTTTTTTTTTAAAAAAAAAAGGGGTTGACCGAGTTTGGTTTGACTGAGATTTTAAATTTTTATAAAAATAATATTTAAAATATAATGATTAAATATGATATTTAAAAGTATGAGAAATGGGATTGGAACTAATGAGTAGTTAAAATTATATGAGTGGGTTAATAGTGAAATAAAGTTGATGTAATGAGTGAGGATCATTAATTGATATTATTAATTATATTAATAATATTGTGAAAAGTTGGGTTGGTCTAGATTTGAGTTGGATTTTAAGTTAACAAAATAATCTAGTTAGTTTTCATAATTGGATATTTTGTATCACATCATACACATGCACTGGTATTGTAGCCTATGTATTGCACGTGATATATATGTTAAATTGCAAAGCCCCATAGGTCTGTTTGTGTAGCCTAAAAATTTGTAAGATTGGATTATTTCCGCCTATTTTAATAGTGTTGTTGTTGGTGTTGCTGTTGTGCACACCGTTAACTCTGAACCTTTCAGCCGTTGCCAGTGGTGGTAGTAGTGGCAACGGCGGTGGAGCGGGTGCATGATTGATGATGAGACCGACGATGAAGAATTTATAGCTGATCGAGCGATCAAACTACAAATTCGAGCAAAAATGGTTTAAACGTGGAGATTTGGAAGGAAGAAAAATAGAAAATGCATTATGGGAGATGGTTTTTCATGATTATCTTCTAAGTGAATCTTTTGTGTGAACCATTACTTGTCAATTTACCATAAAAAAACTCCTAAAAAATTATGTCTTCAATTTAGATTTTTTTTTCCACCATTGTTGTTTCCCGTCTAGTTTGTTTGAAATGTTTTGAATTCTTGGATTTCACATCCTACGATGCTAATGATAGTTTGTTATTAGGAGAAATTTTTGGTTATACTTAATGTAAAATAAATATTCTCTTCATTAAGGGGTGTGTTGTGTGATTCTTCTTTCTATATCTTATTTTAATAGACATCTTTGATAAGAATCCAAAATATCTAAATTAACTAATTTGTTCCTAACTAAATCACTAAAAGTCAAGTTTGCTCTTATAAATGGACAATAGTGACCGGAAATTGTTTAAGTGTATTTTTTATGAAGTTATACAGGCAAGTTTTCACGTGAGAAAAATTGAGTGGGTAAAGTGCAAAACAACATAATAACTAAGTGGGTAAAGTGTAATTTGCCCTAATAAGTTACATGCTCGAACACGATTCGAGTTCGAATTTGAAGTACTTGTCAAGTGTTTGATTTGCTCGTGCGCTAAACCCTAAGGAGATGCTTGTTTACAAATTCAATCCAAAAAATCCAATAATCTATAACTCAATCACTTTTTTAACTCAACTTTAACTCAACCCACCATGAGCAATATAATTAAATAATATCAATCAATCAACCCACTATCATCAATATTATAAATATAATTAAATAATATAATTCAATCATTCTTACACACAACATCAACATTAATTTATTATTCATCTACTCACATAATTTTAACTAACCATCACATCACATCTTCTCTCTCCTACTTTTACATCAATTTAATTTAATTCATTTTATTTTAAAATTATTTTAATATACCCACTAACAATTAACCATACCAACTTTTTCAAATTTAACCAACCCACACCAAAAACCCAATCAAAACAAAAAAAAATTTATAAACAAGCATGCTCTAAATTATTTTCAGATGTGAATGTGGTGATGTTTGGCCACTACCTACTAGAATCTGGGGTAGAGTCCAACTAAACGGTGACTGTTGATTGACTCTTGTTCGAGTTCGAATTTGAGGTGTTTGTCTAGTGTTTGATTTGTTCATGCGCTAGGTGATGTGTAGCCACAACCTACTAAAATATAACCAAATGGTGACTACTATTGATTCTTGATTTGACTCTAATGAAATCAGATTTATCATTAGATCAAATACATGTATATTCTGATCAAACCGTCAAAAATAAAACCTATAGTTGCATAATCAGGCGGCATTTGGAAATTTCTAAGCCGAAACATTCATTCTACTCACCATTGGGATGTACGCAAGCGTACAATTCAACGTAGACCCGACATTTATCTAAATTGTATTTATCGTAGAACACGTGTCAATACATTACGTGTTCAATACATTATTGATGAATAATTGATGAATAATTATGGATGACTCTGTAAGTCGAGCTATCTGATAGCTCCATAGCAAAACTAGGATCCCATTTTCCTTTCCTCTGTTCTTTTTTCTCTTTTGTTGCCCCTCTTTAGCTTTTTCAAGTTTCTTTGATCTCAACAGCTATATTTTGGAATTATTTTTTTTTAATTTTTTAATTTCAAGAAATTAAAGAGGTGGATAATAATGAGAAGCCCGTTTGATTAGCAAACCAGGTTGCTCTGTAAGTGATTCTACTTTGATGAGTTTGCTTTGTAAGTTTTGTTTTTAGATTAATTTTAAGTAAAAAAAAAAAAAATTGAATTATGATTTGCAAACCCTATCTATTTCACTCAATTATCAGTTAAAGTTGCATTATTTATGTTATTTTAATGTTAATTGGCTTCTGATTTGTTTCATTTGGTGTCTGCTCTTTGTATCATGCTTGTCTCATACATTTGTCTAGAATTCTTCATGCTTTGTATTTGTAGAGATGATGTGAATTTTGTTAACTTTCAACTTAAATTGATTTCTAATTAGTATCATTTTTTCTGTTTTCGATCGAAATAGACAGCTGCAACAACAATGTCTTTGTGTAAAGACCTCGTGTACCTCATACTGCAATTCTGTAATGAAGAGAACCTCAAAAAGACGGCCCACGTGTGAGTTTGACATTGCCCATCTCCTATTCCGATTATTGTTTTTTAGCTTGTATCGATGAACTTAAATTATATCGTGCCTTTGCATAATGATATAGGCTCGAGCAAGAGACCGGTTATTTCTTCGATTTACAGTACTTTGAGGAGTTGGTGATTGAAGGTAGTTGGGATGAGGTGGAGAGATATCTCTCGAGCTTCACGGCAGCCGAGGACAACAAGTATTCGACCAAGATATATTTCGAGATTAGGAAGCAAAAATATCTCGAGGCACTAGACAAGTTAGTTTTGTTCTAGCTAATGAGTCGAAGAGAAACTCTCTCTGTTGTTAATTACTTTCTCGGAGCCATTTTCGCAGCTTATGATATATGCTTCCTTTTTTCTGTTGATTAGGCATGAATTTGCTGCTGCTTTGGACATCCTTCTCAAAGATCTCAAAGTTTTCGGACAAACAAACAAGGAGTTGTACAAGGAAATGACACAGCTCCTGTCTCTAGATGATTTTAGGTATACATAAAGTACAAATCAAATTTTGTACAAAGAAATTTATTGAAAGATTGCAAGTTGCAATGATGAGATGTTAATGAATTGTCAGGGAACATAATTTGCTTGCCTACTACGGTGATACGTCCTCGGCCAGAAAAAGGCTCGTAAATGAACTCAAGAATTTCATTGAGGCCAATCCACTTCTACAGGAAAGAACAAAATTTCCTCAAATCAACAAGTCTCGATTGAGGCGTCTGATTAACCAGAGGTACTAGTTCGTCTCCTTCTTCTTATTCTTCTTTATTTAGTCTCGATTGTAATTTAATTACAACATATTGCAGTTTGAACTGGCAGCATATTCACTGTGCAAATCCTCATCCGCAACCCCATATCGACACCCTTTTTACTGATCATAAGTGTCCTGAGCCGGATAATATGCAGAATCAATCGAACAAGGATAGCTCATTGGTAATATTATAAAAGTAAATTCAATTGTTTTGCCTATGTTTAGTTCTCATTAAAATCAATCATGTGTTTATGTTTTTATTGTATTTAAGAAATTTTATTTTTAAACCTTTTGATTCAACACTTACCTAGATCTCTGTGCAAATGGCGCCATTTGCGTTGTCCTCTGAAAGTCAATCCAAAATTATAACCACAGACGTGAATCTCGTGAATCCTTCCTCCAAGCAAGGTATTGTCAAAATAATATTTTAGTTTTCGATTTACATCAACTTTTCTTATTTTAACAGAATTCATTATTACTCATGTTTGGTGGCTGCAGCTTCTGTAAATAGAAGGGATTCTTGTCTGGATTCCTCCGAGTCAAAATCGAAAGAATATGTTGGTGATGAGGTAAATTAATCCTCTTTAAACTTATTACATTGCTTAATTAATTCAGCTTACTTCCTTTGTAGGATAAGCAAGATTCAGCAACTGAACTTCCAAGTGACTTCCCGAAGAATGTTGAACGAATTATAAACGTGGGCTCTGCCCCAACTACAATGGAATTTAACCCCTTTCACGAGACCTTGCTGTTAGGTTGACTATGGTTGAATCGCAATTATAAATTTTTTTTTTGCAAGATATTACGTGACTGAAAATTCAAACGCGTGCTCATTTTATTTTTTATCTTCAGTTGGAAATAGTGTTGGGGTTATAGAGCTTTGGGATGTTGCTTCTGCAAAAAAGCTGGTTGTGCAAGAATATGAGATCCCGGGGGTATTATTGGTATAGCTTTTCTTGTTCGTAAATTATTTTCATCATTTGCTCTTTTATTATAGTAGAAAATGGATTTTATGTTTACGATTTAATTGACTGTTATTAGGAGGACATTGCGAAAAAACCTGGTATCTCTGTTAATCGTGTACTATGGAGCTCTGATGGTGCCTTATTTGGTAAACATATATCTTTGGGAAAACATAATATTTCATTTTTCCTTAGGTCCTTGAATTTGTTTTATTTAATAAGGACCCTGCTAATAACAGGCGCGGCATATTCAAAACGGATGGTACATTTATACTCATATCGGACAAAGGACAATCACTTTGATCAACATTTGGAGGTAGCTTCAGTTTCTTACCCATCAATTTACTTATTCAAAAAATCTTACACATTATGATTTTTGAGTTTTTTTTATTCATTATTTTTATTAATATCCAGATTGATGCGCATGTTGGAGGTGTTAATGATATAGCATTTGCAAAACCTCACGAAAAATATGTTGTCATAAGCTGTGGCGATGACAAACTGATTCAGGTTGTTTTTTTACGATAAGAAATCTGATTTGTATTTTTGCAAACATTGACCAACAATTTGCATTTGTTTTTTGAAGGTTTGGGATGTTTCAACCGGGGCCAAACAGTACACATTCAATGGTCACGATGCTCCAGTGTACTCATTATGCCCTCATAAGAAGAACGACGTTTACGTACGAACCTAAACAGTATACGACGAAATTTTATTTATATATTTATTTATTTATTTTTTTCCAAATCTTACGAGTTTTTATTTCATTGGATAATCATTTTTATTTATTATTTTCCAAGTTCTTATTCTCGGTCTCGACACGCGGTGAGATAAAAGCTTGGTTATTTGACAACGTGGGATCGAGGCTTACTTACGATGCTCCTGGCTTCTGTTGTATGAGAATGGTTTATAGTGCAGATGGCAAAAGGTAATATTGTCTTATGCATTAGTAAAATCTATTATGCATCTTTTGAAATGATATAATGTCCACATTAATTACTCTATTGTGCATGATCTTGAGCAATATTATTGTGCAACTCGGTAGTTTATTTCATTTCTCACTTAAGAAACTCATCACCAAAAAGAATAATTAAAGAAAACAGGTTATTTTCTTGCGGGACGAACGAAAATGGAGATTCCTACATTGTCGAGTGGAATGATAGAGAGGGTTCCATTATTAGGAATTACCATGGACTTAGCAAGTGCTCTTCGGCTATGATTCATTTTGATACGAGCGTGAATCAATTTTTGGCTGCCGGTGATGAGCATTTGATCAAGATATGGGATATGGACAGTGCTGAAATCCGAGCGGTTATTGATGCCGGTGGAGATTTACCTGTAAGTCTCTTTTGAATTCTCATTTATCTTTACTATTATTAATCAATTAACTGGTGCTCTGCTTGCCTAATTTCTCGTTTTCTTTTTTGGTAAAGGCGAGACCTTATATTCGTTTCGACAAGAAAGGCAATCTGTTGGCTGTTTGTGGTGATCATAGAAAAATCAAAATATTGGCAAATGATATCGGTCGTGAGTTGCTGCAAAATTCTCCATCAGTTTCTGGTGGTTCGGATGGATTTTTGGCGGACTCGTTCAGTAAGGTCAGTATATAAATTTGTTCAGCTTTTTTTAGCTCAAAATTTATCTGCCTAATGTGGGTAATTTTTTGTTTTTAATAATTATTATTACTTTTTGAGTTTTGATACAGCTCTCTGTCAATCCAACACCTGAACCACTTAAAGCAGTTCTTGAAGAAGGAAATTCCTTTAGAGTAAGCAGTCTTTAGATTATAAATGAAGAATTGAACATTTGCCGTCAGTAAACAGAATAAAACACTCTTGTGATCTTTTTTATTTATTTATTTATTTACATAAAAGTTTGGTGATATTTTTTCAGGGAGAAGCTCCAGATGTATGGGAATATTATCCGAGACCTCCAGGGCCTGAATTACTTACGAAAATGGCGGTGCCGAATATTTCTCAAGTCGTCGAAGTTGCACGCTGTCAGTCTGTGCGGCTCACTTCTGAAATGGAGGTTAATATGGTAATTTTCAAGTTCAATGAAATCTTCAAACCATGTCATCATTGTGCTCAAAATATGCCCTCATTTTTTTCTATCTTGAAGTAATAAAAAATATTAAAATTTTGACATTTGATGTTTATAGATACGGAGGTTAATGTATGCTCGTTCGGGTAATGCCATCCTAGCATTAGCAGAGAATGGGACTCATTTACTGTGGAGATGGCCAAAAAGTTATGCAAACTCAAGTGGCCTGGTATAATGTTGTGATTCGATCCTATTTCGATCATTTTAATCTGCATTTTCGAAATTCCTAATTGATTCATTAAATAAATGTGATTTGTGTTTACGATAATATTTTCTAATGAAAAAAGGAAATTGAAATACATGAAAGGGGTGATTTTAAACTCTGTTTTTTTTTTCTATTGATTTGGATTTTTGTTTAGCTTCACCGATTCAGATCTCGTTGAACCTAACGCTTCTTAAATTTGGTGTCTGTTTATTTTATCTCTAAAAGGAGGTCCATTTCTGATTCTTCTGAGCTTTGGATATTATCTAACAAGACGAGTCTTTGCTGCAGGCAACCACAAAGAGTGCCCCTAAACTCTTTCAACCGATGAATAGATCATTAATGATAAATGATATTCCTGTGGGTAGCAACAATGTATCTTGTTTCACGTGGTCGAACAATGATTCATATGTTGTCTCATCATCGGGAGGGACGGTAAATTTGTACGACATGGTCAATTTTAAGGTAAATTGTCTTTCGGACCAGCTCGTTTATTTCTGTTCTTACAGCCTACATATTAAAATTAACCAAAATAATTAATTAATTGGCCATCATTTAAAGGATAATAGAATTATGTATGGAAGAGATTCTACCCAAAGGAAATGTTGCTTGACCATCATTTAATTATAGCTATGTGAATTTTTTTGGTGATTGTATTTTATTTTTATTTAGAAATTGAGAAGTGTATTCCGAACGCCACCTGGCCCGACGTGCGTTCTGTTCTATCCAGTGGATAACAACGTAATCGCCATAGGCTTTGATGACTCGAGAATCCTCATCTTCAACATCCGTGAGGATAAAGTACAAATCTTTTATTTCACGGTTTCATTCAAATGAGGTTTTCTAACATGGGTTTGAAAATTTTAGCAACTAATTAATGTGCTTGATTTTTTGCAGGTACTGAGCACGCTTCAAGGGCATTCTAGTCGAATCAGTGGCCTCGCTTTCTCGAACACTTTTAATGTGCTCGTTTCCTGTGCAGTGGACACTGAGGTCGGTTCTCGGTTGGTTAGTTTATGTAAAATGCTTAATTAATCATCAAATTTTTAACATCTATCCGCTTGTTTTACGTACTGTGAGCTTCAAATAAATTACTCTGTGTTGCTCTTGTAGATTGTGCTGTGGGATACGGTTAAATGGGAGAAAAAGAGAAGCACAATTTTGCAGATTTCGGTTGGGTATTTGGCTTCAGACCTATCCGAGACCATCATTCAACTCGACAAGGATCACAATCACTTTCTTGCCGTGCACGAGACACAGCTGGCGATTTACGAGACCATGACATTAAGACGTATCAAGCAGGTCTCTCTCATTTTTGAATAACCATGACTTTAAGAATTTAAGACACAGCTGGCCATTCTTATTATTACACTCTCATATTCTTAGACAGAAAAAATACAATAAATTTTGTATTGGTCTCATCATCTTCGCCACGCATCTACATTTCCAAATCCCATATTAGAAGTGTGACATAAGTTTTTGTCCTTGAGAAACATTAAATTTTTTAGGCAGATCGAGTGTCGAATAAGGTGCAATCACTTTATGTTCCTTTTGTTTTCGCAAGACTGTATTTTCCTAATTATTTTGTATCTCCAGTGGACGATTGCCAACTTCTGTACGCGGATTTCACATGCGACGTACTCGTGTGACAGCGAATTTGTATATGCTGTCATGAGAGATGGCATCCTCTTAATCCTTGACGCCTCAGATCTCTCACCCAAATTCGAGATTGATTTCTATGCATATCTTCCATCTCATCTCAGGTACGTTGAAATTTTGAGTGACATTTTAAGACCTTTTTTTCTTAAATTTGAGAATATTTAAGACTTATGTTAGTTCTTTGATTTTACTGAAAAATCCAAGAAAATCACACGTGTACACTTGTAGTGATGAAATTCCAACGAAAATATATTCCAATAGAATTGCAACGGCAATTCCAATGTATATTTTAATGCTATTATTTCCGTTGGAATTAATCCAACGGAAATTTCATAAAAAATATTCCGTTGGAATGAAATTTTTATTGGAATTTCCGTTGGATTTTGACGATTCCAACAGTAGATTTTTTTTTTTCAACGGTGATTGAAATAAAAATTTCAGCGGAAATTGCATATTCCAACGGTGAAAAGCCATTGGAAATATAGCCGTTAGAATCATCAAATTACATGAAAAATACATTCCACCGGAATATTCATTTGAATTTTCGTTGGAATCATTCCAACGGAAGCTATACTATTGGGAAGCTATACTATTGGAATGTCTGTTGGAATTTCCATTGGAATATATTACTATAAGATTTTCGGTTGCAATCTAACAATTTTTTTGTAGTGGTAGATGTGAGATTTGGTGGTAGAATTTCGTATATGTAATTTGTCTCGTTTGTCATTGAAATCTCGATGAGTTTTAGAAAGTCCATACGACATCAACCGATAGGAAAACATTAAACCTCTCATAGCTTTTTCTTTAAAATCTCAAATAAATACTCCTGAGACTAATTTCAACCATAAAGTTATAAAGTTTCTGCATTGTGTATGTTGGATAGTAGTAGCCTATGTTTTGGTAGATAAATAAGAAAGCTTATAGCTTCTTTGGTTAGCTTATAAGCTCTCTCTATTCAAATAGGCTCTGTTTGGTAAAATGAGTTTTTTTTTTTTTTTTAAAAAAAAAAGCTCGAGTTTATTTGATAAGCTTGCTTTTTAAATAAGTTCGTTGAAATTTTATTTCAGTTAGCTTATAAGCTAATTTTACAAAACACTTTTATTATATAAGTTAGTTTGTTATAAGGCATAAGCTATAAACTCGAAAATTACTCATAAGCTATAAACTAGCTTAACAGCTAGTTTTACCAAATATAGCCATAATAGCCGTGCGAGATAATTAAGTTCGTTAATGATATTACTGTTGTGCACTATAATGGTAGCATTAATCGTGCATGTTAATTATGTTTTTTTTTTTTGCATGTTAATTATGTTAACAATATTACTATGCATGGTTTTAACTACTTTTTATTTTTATTATCTATTTTCACCAGAATCCGACCCTATATATAAGTTGACGTGTGATAAATTTGATTTGGTTTGGCAATGTACAGATCAGGCGTGGGCCCGTTGGTGGTGGCAGCTCATCCGCAAAAGCCATGCCAGTTGGCATTAGGGTTGTCTAATGGTGAGGTCGCCGTGATCGAGCCTCTTGGCTGTGACGAGGATAAATGGACCGCGCCCCCCTTCGCCCGAATTTAGGCTGCTAAAAATAATTCTTCTTTTTTTTTTGCGTTTTTGGTTTTTCATTATTTTCTCCTTATGGCATAATTTGCTGCCAGTCATTAAAATTTTCACATATGCCTGTGATTTTTTTTATTTTTTTTTTTCTTTTTTTGGACGTTTTTTTATGAGGGTGGTTTGAGTTTTTTAGTTTGGTGGTGTGATTTGGTTTTTGTGTGAACAAATAATTTATCCTGGGTTAAAATGAATATTATACATTCTGTAAAACTCATGTTAGACAACATGTTTCTTAAAATTTTTTACAAACTTTTGTGTTTAAAAGAAACTTAACATGTTTTTTAAAAAAAATTACAAACTTTTGTGTTTAAAAGAAACTTTGCTAGTTGAAAGAACGAAGTAAATCAAGGTTATTTGGTTTCAAAGAAATGAAGTTACATGACAACCCAAGAAAAAAAATTAATAATAATAATTGAAATAATAACAAGTTTCACTTGTTGTCGAAAAATAACAATTGAAAACAAGATATTTTCGAACAAGAACGAACACTAACAATCTTTGCTCGTAAAAGAAGGGAGTAAAAAGAGGTTGTTTGGTTTTAAAAACAATAGAGTTAATTGAAAGCCGAAAAAAAAATGAAAGCTATTAGTTGAAATAAGAACGAGTTTCAATTGCTTTTGAAAAAAATAATTGAATATGATGTATTTTTGGAGAATAATGAACTCCAAAAATCTTTGCTATTGAATGAAATAGGTAAAACGAGGTTGTTTGGTTTAAAAAAATGGAGTTCTAGACATCCCGAAAAGAAAAAAAAAACAATTAATTAAAAGAAGAACAAGTTGCAATTGTTGTTGAAAAATAACAATAAAAAACTAAGTATTTTTTAACAAGAGCGAACACTAACAGTCTTGGCTTATTATTTTATAATTTTAAATCATCGAATTATAAACTTGAATTGTTACTTTAGTTAACTCTAGACTGAGTTGTCATCCATCGATCATTTCATTTTTATGAGCAGCTTTGAATTTTCATTCAGAAATTAGCTTTCAGTTGTTATCATCATTTCTTTTTGTGTCGGATGTT